CCCCCCCTTCGCTTCCACCAATGGACACTAAACTGAAACTGACAAGGCTCCTGAGGAGGGAGAGAGAGGGGGCGAGGGGGAGAGCGAGGGGGAGAGAAGGTACCGAGCAGACTTTCATACAGTAAAACAACTGCTACGTAAGTTCCTGCCTCCCCCTCCCCCCCTCCACCTCCCTCCTTCTTGGATCCGCCAATGCATCCGCCGTTGAGGTGTTCCGGAGGCTCAACGATCAGATAGTTCGAGTTTTTGAGCTAGAAGACGTGATCCTGCCCGGTAGCCTTCAGAGACAAGAAATTCGAACAGCTGCCCCGATTAAACAAAACGCAGCACAATACCGTCGTATTTTTGCTAGCACATGCCACCTGAACGCTTCACCCAAATAGAAAGTGACCAACAACATTAATTCTGTACAAGAATGAGGCAACACGAAGTGACCAGGAAGCGCATCCTGTTTTACGCAAGTCTCTCGGCAAAAAAAAAGGACGGCTTTTGAATGTACCTGTGTGTAAGATATTCGATTCGTCAACCATGCAAATCAAGAACCTGAATTTTCATCCTCTAGACTACTCTAAACTCGAGAACGGACACGGGCACAGACACAAACTTCCACAGAATTCAACTCCGAGCAAAATGTACGAACGCTTCAAAACACGCTTCTAGACTTCGCTCTCAGTGATAGCTCAAGCTCAACTGTCCCCTCCCCCCACCTCCCCATCTCTTCTTCCCGCATCCTCGTTCCCACCTCTCCCGTGACCACGACCCATTCTGGTCATCAAGGAGGCATCATGCTCTTCCTCACGTAAGCAAGCAATTATCCGCCAGCCAGGCGCTTCTCGCAAAGCCTAACACCATGTCGGCTCTTCAGTACGCTGCTGGTACTACTCAACTTTTCAAAGTATGCATTCAGCGTGTGTCCGTGCAACACAATCTGGTTATTATGGCCGGGAACTAAGCAACACCAAAGTGGTTCCTGAGGTGTGGCTCTCCTTCGCCCACAGAATGCCATGCCGAATACTGTAGCGCCAATTAAAAACTTCACCGAGAAAGTGCAATAGCCCGCTCAGCCCTGCTCCAGCAGGGAGACCATCCTTCAGGGTACCACGCCGTCCCGTTTGCCGAGGCTCATCGCCATCCGCCAACTGCTCGGTCAGTTAAACTTCCACTTTTTGGTAATATTTTCCTGGCAACAGACACTGATTCTGAGAGCAGTACCACCGCCCGTGGAAGAAAAAAAGCACTGTACATCAGCACAGGTACTTACTACGCTGGCTCACAGAGCCAACCGATCGGCATAAATTTGTAGCGAAAATAGCCTTTTCATGCCCCAACTACACCATTTAAATACGGCGGCTCTTTGCATATGCGGCAAATGGCGCTAGCCGTTAAATTCGAGTTTTCGGAGCGCGCATCACTCGTCTCTCGCGCGATCCGACGCTTTACTGGTCGCCGTTAATTACACTAACAGTGTTCTTCGGCTGCGCACTGAGTGTTCCGTTCGTGCATTCAGCGGTTCTCTTCATTCATCGTGTCTTTAACACTCTCTGCTGATGACCATATCGCAACTGGCGGCATTAGACATTCCTATCCTAGGAGACCGAGATCGTCGCAAATTTTACATCGGAAATGTGCTGCAACCCCCTAACGCTACGGCATGCCATTCCCAGACTCGCTGCGTCACTCATTCAGCCCTCCATCCCCTTCATATTTACACCGCGGTGCGCTAAAAAAATGCATTTCAGAAGCATGTTTAGTCTGAAGCGGTGAATTTGAAGACGTCAATTCCCTATGCAGCACTTCCTAATCATCGATGGGGGCGAGCTTTTTCATTCCAGGGAAAGCGCTGAGACTAAAAAAGCAAGCAAACAGTGAAAATCATGAATCAGTGCTACTGCTCCACCCAAATCCAACGAGCAGTCATGCAGCGAATAAAATTATGCGACGGCTCTAAAGCACTGCTGGCACACCTGCAATTCCCTTCCGAGCAATTACTGCTTGGCTGGGGCCTATTCTGCATCTCCAAAACAACAAACCGGATTCAGCCGCATATATCGACACATATCCCAATCAAAGAAGTCAATTTTGGATAGTCCAGAAAAACTACAGCAGGGATCTCGAACAAAATTATATCAGCCAAATGTTTATCTCCACCAGTTGCTGTGGAGCAGACTTCCAGTTCCCCGAACTTTCAGGTCGGAAAAGCAAGATTCGCCTGGAACTTTGGGAAAAGTATCACAACCTCACTACGAATTCGAAACACACAGGTCATCCCCTAACATAACGATCAGCACTTCTTAGATTTAACTGAATCCGGAATTTTTTCCAGTGTCTTGCCGGAGAAAACTATACGTCTGCAGTGCCATTTCCTGTTTGCATCATTTTTTGGCGTGCCCGTGTTTGTATGTACGTGTACTGTGGACACAAACACGTTTGTGCTCTTGCCCCTGGATAAATCAGTCATGAAAGAAGACATCCCAGCAAGCAATTAAAACAATTTATTATATACAATATATATACCATGAATGTCAGGCCGCTCGGGATCGCTCAAGGTGAGTGTCCCTTGTTAGTGATGTTACTGGAATGCTCTTAGACGCCGAGCGCAGCTAATGCCAGTTTCATCGATCTTGAACTACGTAGATAACAGCCAGTGCTTATTCGATGTATGTGCACCACCTCTTCGGACAGCTGCTTAATTTCACAAAGGTATCACTCACTAAAACACAGTGCACACCGGCTGTAGGCAAGACCAGCAATATTTCCTGCCCATCGAATTTTGGTTTTTCGAGTGGTCGCAATAATATCCTGCAGTTGCTTATATGTCGCGGAGAGATACGTCAGGTATCCTTCGCCCCATCGCACTTTCCGTCACTGTCAGCGCGCACTCTACGGCTTCTATGGATGACCGCGTTTCATGTCCGTACGTTATTGTTTTTAACATTGTAGCACTGAGAAAGCTGACACAGCTCTCCTGGTACGATACTTTGAGGACATCAACGATGCTGTGAAATTTGTTCCAACCGGTAGCCATTCGACGCACAATCTCCGGATGGAGACTGTTACAAAATATTTACTTATTGTCCGAGACAGACATAAGTGTCAACTTCTTTTGAGTCCACACCGTCTATCTGCAATATTATTGCCGGCACACCAAAGCTTTGCATCACCTTCGCCTTCAATACGCTGTTTTCCAGACCCATTTTCTTCGTGTATTGAGCTTCTACTTGAGGGATTTGCTACTTGATGGCGCGCATTACAAATGCTGGGATGTCGGCACATGATGTAAACAGATTTGTATAGAATTTTCTATAAATGTCTTCCATGTCTGTTCGATTCGTTATCCAACATTCGCCCCCGTCCCTCAGCGCTGCCGTTATGTAGAATAACTGTATCGTTTTTATTTGCACACATTTAATTTAAAAATTTTCCCACAAATGTGCAGCAATATCAACAATATGTAGTAGTCTTACTTTGATGCCATGATTCCGCCGATCACTTTTTTCCTTTCTCTTCTTTCTTTCCAACCAACGGTGTCTTCCTCTTCTCTTTTTTCCAAATTCATGTTCGTAATTTAAATTCTTCAATATGTTTTTATTATACTTTATATGGCCACTAATATCCTTATTCCATGACCGTGATGTGGGAAAAAAAAGCTAAACAAATTGATCAACACTTGAAGTGTCAACAGCAGTAAATTCCCAAGAGATGCAAGCGATTGCGGACGATTACTAGCAGCTGCCTTGGCCATGGCAGTCCTTTACTGAATTCCAGTTCACTTCTTCTGACGATCGTTGGAAACTTGTTCACTTATAGTTCCGAATGAGAAGCAAGCAAACTTGAAACCGAACCAGTGACTTTTGCTCTGCCACTCATCAGTTCAGTCTGTGTCTTCTAACACTCAACAGCTGCAATTCTTCAGGACTCTTTCAGTGCCGAACTACACAAAATCCGTCATGGTAATTAAAATAAAACTTGAAAATTTGCAGTAAGCAAGTAATTAAGGAGACCAATGTGTGTTTGCGCACAATGGGCAACGATCAGCTGGATGCAGACTGGATGGAAACACCGGAAAAGTAATAGTGATTGATCGGTTTTCCGACTCGATCAAATTTATTGTGAGGAAACACAGAACATATTCTTTTTTTTTCTTTTCGAGAAACATAGCACACGTTCGTTTTTTTCTTTTTGAATGAATTCAACTCAGTAAAAAATTTTAAAAGAAATGAAATGGAAATGCACAATTAACTTCGTCCAATCTCCGCATCTTCCTATCCCAAAATCAAGTCCTTTCTGTCTTCATTCACTCCGCCTTCTCGCTGTCTACTTCACCCGACTAAAAATCCCCACTCAATCACTGCGGATTTTTCAATATCCATCAACTGAGCCCTTCCCAAGCATGCTTTGGCTTCCATCACCATACTCAGATCAAAGGCTCATTACCCCACTCCACAACCAGGAATAGTTATAGGACAAAGCGCATTCTCGCAAAATAAACATTTCGTTCTTTCCAGTTCGTGGATCACCCGGCAGAGGTCAGGGTGCACTAAGTCTGAGATTATAAAAAATATATGAGGGACGATGAGACCAAGAAAAGGTGAGGGAGCAAAGTCCCTCACTGCTCTTCTGAAGCGCATTTTAGTGCTACGAGGAGTGCCCAGGCAGCAGCACAGGGGAACAAAGTTCAACGTTTCATCACCACCAGTGAGCTCCCTGCATCACTTCAGTCACTGGAAAATGTTTTTCTAAAGCTCAGGAATGCAGCGCGATGAGTGCCAGCAGAGAAGCCATAAGATTCGAGCATCGAGACGAAGCTCGAAGGACGGGCTCCCAAAAAGTGACCACCGAGTGGACAAGCGATCGAAGAATTCGAAGAAGGGGTACACAGATAAAGCGCGCATTCAGCACTTCTCCGAAATGCCAGGATGACCAAGAGCAGTTGCAGCAGGTGACGCAATGCTGGCTGGAGCAGACCTGGGCAGTTGCGTGCGATGCACCCATATGGGGCAATGCCACTGTTCCATGAAGCGCGCCGTTAAAGCAGTGTAGGACAGTAGAATATTAATCGTTATATATATATATATATATATATGTATATTAAAAAAATATAAATTTTTGTTAAAAAACTGCATGAATAGGAATGTTTCGGTCCATCAAGTTGTAGACATTCTCCTATTCGGTACCTCAACTGAGCCTCGTCATTATGACAGTTGTGCTGTTGATAAAACAAATAAATGAAAAGAAAGTTATTTTTGTGAAAGTTAGTTATAATTTCAAAAGATGAAAAGGGCCTTAAAGGAAGAAATACGTGCTCCCTCCCCAACCAATCCAGCAGCACTCCAGCCAAACGCAATCCTCGACAGTCACAACGAAACAACACCGTATCACCAACCCCCTCCCCTCGCGGCGGAATATTGTGAAGGGAAACACAATTAGCCTACCCCC